TAAAAGACTTGCAGCTCAGAAGTGGACAGCACTTGTTGGGTGGTTATACTTGGATGATGCTGTTGAAAACTGGGCACTTCATTACTGAAAATAATGACAAACAAAGAGATTTCAAGGGAAAAAAGTTATTATGAGTTAGAAGGAAACATATTATCTTATCATAGCATGAGGGAGTGCATAAGATGTGCAGACGATGAAATTCACTTTTATGAACATTTTTGAGGTTTGTCTTTGTCCTAATTAGGAATGCAACTATTGAAATGCCTTAAAAAAAAACTTCTAGAAGAAAAATGAGGCTGATTGATTGAAATGTTTAATGATGTCACCTATCCATTTATGTTACACTATATTCTAACACTATGCTAACTTAAACTGAAACCATAGTGATTTAGAAAAGAAAATGTTTTTCTCTAAAAATATAAAAACTGGGTGCTTTGAAGCTGCCAGAACATCTTTCTGCTTTCCTTAAAACATTTTCATGGGATTCACATGATTTCAAAAAGTATTCACCTCAAAGGAGCTGCCTCTTCAGAGAAAAGGGTTCCACTGATGTGTTCTCTTTGACCATCTTTAAAGCTCCTGCACTACAGTATTAAGAAAAAGCACACAGAGTAGCGATTGTGACACTTTCCAGTGTCTAGTGCCAAATGTATTTTTAAAACATTGTACCTCATTCTCAGCGGTGGGCTTTAGTTTTGGTCCTGGTGCCACTGTTTTGTTACTGGCAAGCCATGTATAAAGTCCACTAAAGACTCCCATCTCAGTTACATCCATGCAAAAAGGAAGGAAATTATTTAGGGTGGTTAATAAAGTATCACAAGCTATAATAGCATAACAGAGTAAGATTAGACAATTCAAGAGACCTGCACAGAAGCTTTCCCTATAATGGACCACACTAGGTTGCTCCCTGAAGAGAACAACTGATGTTTCCCCTGCTTGTGACGTTCAGCCCCATTCTGGGAAGAGGACCCCTACAGGTACAGTAAAGAGCCAGTGTGCTCTAGCAATCAGATGACTACAGCAGATGACCTAAAATGTGTCATGCTGTTTTATTCTGATTTTATATACTGCATGCCTTTGCTTGGAGACTTCACCGTGTTCATGAAACATATCATGAGGGAAGCAAGCACACAGTTGAGACCCTTTAAATGGAGAGGAAATTAGTACCAGTGCTCTTGTAAATTATTAAAAAAATATTTGGGATAGACTAGAGACTGACATTCAGAAGGAATTGGATCTGCAGCTACTGAATTGCATATCCATTTCTGGCACATGGGAAACATGTGATTTGTTTCCTCTGTGTTAGCTGGGATACATAAACATTCTCTGCTTTACATAATCTGGGGTAGAGAAGCAAGACTGTAATGATCAGATTCATAAATTGTAAAAATGGTGTTCTCACCATGTATAACAACAGTAAATCATTCTGACTGAAAGCCAGGCTTGTGTTATGTCCATTCAGGTGTTACCTTCTGCTGCTTAGAGACAGGTCTGCTTGAAAATGAGAGATTGATTGGTCTGAAAGACAATATGCTGCAAACAGGGCATTCAGATGACATTGCCCTTTTCACTGACTTTCCCAAAGACTTAACATTCCTTATAAGTCTAAAAGTTTTTTTAGAGAATCATAAACCAAGGCTCCAATCTTTCACAGAGAGGGATGCCTAAAAAAATGAATCCTCCAGTGAACTTTTGTGGGACTAATTTGAGTGTTTTTCACACATCACTTTGAGGTTTGGCTGGGACCTGGCATTTTTAGGGGTGTTTCTTCAAATATTGGCTACTCCCATGAAGTCATTTCACCTAACACAGGAAGATGTCCACCTCTGTAGTGAGAAGCATGGCCACTCTCTAGCCATGCACACCGATGTGGTGATGAAGTGAGGCACTGTGGCCTGTCTGGCAGGGTGATCAAGAAGATTTGGACAGAGAAATGCTGGAGTGTACTCACAACACAGAGTGGCAGCACAATTGATGAAAATAACCATATTGTGTAAATTCTGAGGTTAAATTTAGACACATGTTAATAATTGAGACGGACAGATTTATCTTTTCAAAATGTGTTGAGTTTAGATGATTAAAAACACTTATTCCCTGGTTCCATAGACCAAACAGGTCTTTTGCTGCTTACTAAGGTCTGGCTCCATCACTTCCATTTTTCCTGCTGCTGGTAATTTCATATTAAGGACTTTGCAATTCTTTTTCATGGTCCCACTACATGTTCTCACTTTCAGAAGTCTGTATACCCCAGAAATTGCTTCCAAGAAATGTTTATCTTCTGTTGTCTAGCTGCACGGTCATCTATGGGGTTTCACTGGGCTTGTGTCCTCATAGGCCTCCCACCATTTATTACACCTTCTTCTCTACACACTTTCCTCCATTACTGACCTAAACTATTTGGAACAGGCCTGATTTCTAAGGGTAATCTAGCTGTATTTCTTCCTTCTAGTGAATGCTCAGCCTCATATATATAAGGAGGCCTTACAGAAGTCCTACAAAGCAAAATTTTAATTCCTAAAATAAAAAAATGGACTGTTTAGCACTCAGATGTGATGCTGAAGTAACTGTTCAGTGCATAAGCTAGAACTAGTCTCAGACTGTCCTTAGAAATTAAATTTTTTGTGAAAAATTAGATTTCTCTGAATGGTTTTTCATTTCCTAACAACTTTATAGTAAACAATGAGAAATAAAAATACATTTTAAATATCAATAAGATGATAAGGGTTTCCTTTTAACATTTAATACCAGTTTATTTTACTACTTTATGAAAGAAGTTAGGGAAAAATGGTTAGATTTAGTGTCTTTAATAAAAATATTTAAAATAACATTTGCCACAGGTAGGTAATTATTTTAACACTTTTCAATAGGCTTGTACTGCTGAAAAATGGAAGTGTACTACACAGATCAGATTGTTAATCTATCTGAAAGAAGGATGTGATTCCTGGTAAGGTATTCATTGTGCCAAGACACAGCTGAGTTGAATTCGTCCACCAAGCCATGTCACTTGACACCAGCAGAGGCTCTAACACATTCTTAGGGAGCTGCTGAAGTTCAGAAAATTTTAAGAGAAGAAATCAACTTCCAGGAAGTCTCAGTGAGTGTATTCTCCTTATTGTTGCACCCTCCTTATTGAACTGCTGTGGGTGCTTGCTCGAAAACAACATCTGCAAAGGGTGAAAAAACAAGCACAGGAAGTATGCTGTGGATGAAACCACCCGAGCACTTACAGTCCTATGCCCCTATGGGTGATTCCACAGAGCCATATTGGCTGTGGGGCTTGTGTGAGGTTTTATGAGGTCTCACTCCTGCAGCTATGCGACTCCCCATGGCTGCGCGACTGGCCAGGCTGGTGAGGAGAGTCGAGGCGAGTGTTTCAGTTTACCAGTTCCATATCTTCATTTTCTCTAAATATTTAATGCAGAATAATTGGACATCCATTGTCTGAGAGAGATGGGGAACTGGATGAATAATTTGGCTGAGATTGTGTAAGTTCAAAATGATGATTACAGGATTTGAGAAGCAACACTAGCAATTAAGCAAACAGCAGACAGGAGGAAGTGTACTTCCCATTGATTGCGCAGGCAGCCTGGGGTGCTGTTGCCCAGGGGTGCAGGTGTTGGGTGCTCCTGAACGTATGCATGGGCAAGTACAACACAAAGGAAGTGGATGTCACCTGAGCCACTGAGTATTTGCACGCTTTCAACAACCTCATGGGTATCTGGGAACGTCTAACCTCAGGTAGGCTGAGTAAGATCACTGTAAAGCAGTTTTCCTGGACCTAGTCCCAAAACCCATCCCAAAATAGCTGCTCGTGCAGGACATACCTGCTCATTAGGCAAAGTTGCTCTCTGGGAGACCTGTGTACCGAGTCCTGCACTGGCTGCCAGCTGACTTCTCAGTAAATCCATCTTTCTTTTATAGCTGGCATTTTAAGAGGGCTGAGGAAATACCTCCTGGGACAGCCTCTGTCTGCTCGTGGGTTTGGGTTGATGCTCTCTGGATGAATCAGGAGGAGATTGCAGCAGCGCAGGCTTGGATGTCCTGCTTTCCCCTTCTGTGGTCTGGAGGCATGAAAGTTTGATTGACTAAGCTGAAAAGCTTGCAAAGTAATAACTTTTCTATTTTGTCGTGATTTGAAAATATGTTTTATTGAATATTCAGATAAGCTTTGTGCAATGTGGGATTTGCATTTATTTTCTCCCTCAAGCATGTCAGATCAAATAGAAACACAAACTATACGACACAGAGGTCTCCTCGTGGTTTGCACTGCTGTGTGCCGTCTTTTGTCGTAATTGGATAGGGCTTATAGCATAAATCTGAAAAAAAATACCAGCTAAAAGGCAATTGTTTCCTGTCTGACTCTAAGTGTATTTCACACCATTTGAAAATGTGAAGTTGGAAGCAGCTTGCTAGGGTGAAAGCCTAGTGTCACTGAATGGTGGGACTTTTGACTTTGAGATGAGCGGGAACACGATTTCACTCATTTTTCATGCAGTATCTGATCTCTTTAGCTCTTGTCCTCTGGTCCTTCATCCTTTCAAACGGGTACTCAAGGCTGTTGAAACCACACGCGTTGGTGTTCTTAAACACACGGCCACTCTTGACTTTCAGACCCAAAGACAATAAGCTCAGTGCAGAAAAAAAATCCTTTCTCGTCCCGTTGATTATTTTCATACTGACGCAGTTACGGGCTAACGCCAGAGGATGCGACCGAAGTTTCCTTTGCACGTAGCGGGCGATGGGGGGGGGAGTGTGGGGGCCTGTGGGGGGCGGGGGGTCAGCGCAGGAGACTTCACGAGCCCCCGCTGCTCTCTCGGGGCAGGAGCTGCCCGCAGCGCCCGAGCAACTTGCGGAGCGTGCCTGCGCCCGGGCAAGAGCTGGGTGTTGCTGTGCATGCGTGTGCGGGCGGCGGGGCCGGGGCCAGCGGCCGCTCACGCACACCGGCTCCAGCCCCGCAGC